TTTATTTTCTGCATCATCTGAAATAACTAAAAAAAGGGCTCAGTTACAGCAATCTGGATACTCATGCACTCATCCACTTCAATAGGTTTCTGCACCTCACGAATTTCGTATTTTAACCTCATTAAAAATATACACAAAGAACATAAATAAAGACTGTTTGATTTTGTGAGTCACACGAAAGGATGATGGTGTAAAGAATGTTCTCATCCAACAATAAAGTTTCCAAGAACATTATGGCTCCATATGTGCAGGTCACGAGTAAACTGCTGCATCTGTTCTGTAATAGATCGTGTATGTTCTGCTTAACTCTCTCAGGAGAAAAATGCTTATATTTTTCCTGTGCAACATTGTTAACATGAACATTTATAGATTTCTTTTCAGAAGGTAACAGACATAGAATTATCCTGGCACAACAGAACACAAAGAATCAAAATCTGAAGTAGGAAGTCAGAAAGCTCAAGTATTATCCCCAAGTATTATTTTCTAAACAAGGAATTGAAACAAAGACTAAAATGCTCAACTCTAAACTAATTCTACTGCAGATCTAAAGCCTGAACCACTGACTTACCTAAAAGACCAATTCTACTCTCAGTATTTCTTTCTGTTAGTACAGAAATATCAACAGCAAAACCTTCCAACATTTTCACAATGTGTTTTACAAAACACATATATAACACATACTAAGATAGCATACAAATTTCAGAAGAGGAATAGGAAACTTAACCTACTTGCTAACCAATGCTGTTTACAGAGTCTTTCAGGCTTTGGAGAAGCAAGTGCTTTATTCGTGCCTTCTAATGTGGATGATTTAGTATTTATTCCACTGACCTACTGCTTACTTTTTAAAACAAGAGATACATTCTCAGAAATGTCTGTCCTCCAAATATATGTTGTGAATTTGTCTCTAAATCTTGCTTTTCAAGTTCTTCCAAATACTGAATTTTTTTCTCCATATGCACCAAAAAAACCCACCCCGAAACATGAAACCAAAGAACATACATTTCAATTCAATTGTTTCTTTTATTAAAAAAAAAAAAAGATTTAGTGACAGAAGCAGCTTCACTACACAAACAATGAAAAAAGTTATGAAAAGATATTATTACTGTATGTAGTGCTAAATTTACCTTTACCATTTCTTTGTATTTTTCTTTGAGGTCTTGATACACTTTGCTGTACTTTGCTACAGAAATGAGGGAGAGTGTACTTTTAAACTCACTGGGCTTCTGCTCCACAGACCATTTAGCCAGTTTGGACAAAAGTTCATTTCCGAGCCATGCTAGCTTGGGGTATGCAATTCCATCTGAAAACCAATCCTCTGGAAATGGAGCTACAACAGACACAGACCTTCAAACAAACAAATAAACAATTTTGAATAAATACAGTATATTTCATTATTTCAGCTACCTCAAAGAGGGAGAAAAAAATTATTAAGTGGAGAAATCGGCAAATCAAACAGAGATATAAAACTAGACAGGAGAATAAGGAAATACACAATTTACAAAACCAAAAGGAAAATAAAACAATGAAGTTACTGAATAATGGGTTGTCTCCCCTGAATTTTGTTAGCTCGTTAGCTGTCAATTCAAACACTGTACATGAGAGTCCATGCTGCATTTAACACAATGAACGAGGACTCGCATATGATGACCAACCAGATTTAACAAGATAGCCAAACACTAAGTAGCAAAAGTCAGTTTATGAAATTCATGAGAAAAAGGAAAATTTAGAAAAAAAATACATCCATTGGCACAATCCATTATTTCATCTTCTCTAACTTTATTCAGGTTTCATTAGACCTACATCCTCAGATGCTCAGGACCAAGCTGCAATGTCACCTTTCAGTGACTGAAGCTCAGTGGGTTCACAGCAATTCCAATTCGACCTCAGCCCTACTAACACCCCCAGAACCTGACCTTTTTCACAGGCATAGTTCCTCGTGATCAGAATAGGCATATTTTTTTCCAGACCACACACAGCTACAGTCAATGTATACATTGAAAGTTGAAACAGCTTTGTGATACTTTGGGTATTGTAGATGCTTCTTTTTAACAGAACACTGTGCACTCAGATCACAACACTACTGTAATTTACCAATCAAGCAGGAAATTATATAAACCAAATTGCTTATGTACCAATACTAAGCCATTGTGTAACTCTTGCAATAACTCACTGTTTGCTTTCCCTCTCAGTCCCAGCACTTACCATTCCTCATCTTTTATGTGTCTAAGTTGAATTTGATAAATATTGCACTTCTTAATCAGGCATTTTCCTTCACTGTTTTCCTCCAAAGGCAGAAAGGTCACAGTTCCATTGTAAACATCTGAAAAGATATACAAACAGTGGTATATTATTCTATCCTGGCTCACACAAAGATGAACTTTTGTCTTCTTACTATGTTAAATGCAAACTAGTGAGATCTAGGACAACACAGGAAAAACCACAATGCTAAGAATAAATCCATTTCTCAGTGTGCCTGACATCCAAAAACTGGATGGTTCGAATTCTCAAAATTTAGCATTCTGTTGCATGATATTTTCAAAATACCTAAGGCTGTCCAGTAAGAGTATTAATTTTATTTTAACTCAACTATTTTAATAAAGTAAAAGCTAGCCAGTGAAACTTTTCTAGCACAAAACTGCTGCTTTCCCATAGTCCACAGTAAGTCCAAAATCCTGGTAAGCAATTTTAATTAAACAGAGACTTACATATCACTCCAGTAATAGATAAACAATTGGTGCAATATTAAAAAGTAATCAATAATATTAAAAATATCTATCAATTTTGCCATTTGCAAACACAGGATCTATTGCATCATTATAATTAAGCATAGCCGTGTTTCCCTTTCGGCATCATGCAGCTTTCCCAATTTGAGTTCCTAGACTAAGCACTGTGAAGAAACACATTATCTATCCCTAAAATAGTAACTCATAACTCTGAAGGCAGACTGCCTGGGAAGACCTGCTTTTAGGTTAAGGTGCATGTATGATGTTCCTACACTGAGTGATGTTCAGCAACCACACTACTGATGGATTCCAAACACTAGAGATTTTGAAAAAGGGAATCTAAAGGCATTCATTATATTCCATACATCTTAAGTGTGTATGCACTATTGCTTTATAAAATAGTTGCAAAAATCTTTTTAGCTATTGTTTATGCAGGGCGATTTCCTATGAATAACTTAAGTTCTCAGTTTTGCAAATGGTTTTTCAATTACTATTAAAACAAACATTCTGGTAACTACAAATGCTATATTGGCTACACAACCAATTTTCAATGGGCTCCAAAATTTTCTGAGTGCAACAAGAAAGAATAATTAGCAATAGAGGAAACATTAAGTCTTGCTGTCTTGTCCCACCTTTAGCAATCCCATCCCTGACATTTTTCATTTTAAACATATTAATTAAAAAAAAATTCTTACAGATAGGCTCTCTAGACATAGCTCAGGAACACCTTCTCTTAGCATCAAAAGAAAAATTAAAACTGCAACATAGACTTTTTTTAAATTTCCCTATTTTTTTAAGGCAGCAAGAAACAGGCCACAAGAACATTCAAAATCAGCTGTCACCCATATATGACTATAGGTCCTTCTGAATGGTAAATTTAATTTTTTCTGGAATTCTGACTCTTTTCAAAACATTACTACTAGAATTTAATCCATATCAACAGGTTTTTCCAAAATTTATCTTAAAGGAGATGTCAACCTCTAGCCTTTAAAACTTTGTTTACATTAGTAGGATTTACCACAGCATAGTACTGTCATACAGTGTCAGAACAAAACAAAGGGAAAAAAAACACAAACAAGTCCAGCTTCATTTTTAAGCAACAGTGAACAATAAGAAAGTTGATACAAACATTTAAACTTGGCCAGCTGCCTTTTCTATTCAGTATCGAGGCTGGTGAAGGGACTCGAGCACAAGTCCTATGGGGAGAGCCTGAGGGAGCTGGGGTTGTTTAGCCTGGAGGAGGCTCAGGGGAGACCTCATCACTCTCTACAACTGCCTGAAAGGAGGTTGGAGCCAGGTGGGCCTCGGTCTCTTCTCCCAGGCAACCAGCAGTAGGACAAGAGGGCACGGTCTTAAGTTGTGCCAGGGGAAGTTTAGGTTGGATACTAGGAAGAAATTATTTACAGAGACAATAATCAGACATTGGAATGGGCTGCCCAGGGAGGTGGTGGATTCGCCATCCCTAGAGGTTTTTAAGATGAGACTGGATGTGGCACTTACTGCCATGGTCTAGTAACCACAGCAGGGTTGGATCAAGGGTTGGACTTGATGATCTTGGAGGTCTTTTCCAACCCAGTTGATTCTATGATTCTTTTTCCAACACTATCATCAGTCCTTACAAGCCTTTAATTAAGTTTGCACTACAAGCAGCGTTTGTGTGCGGGCAGCTTACTCATGACGGGAGCTCGAGAGTCCTGCAGGTGTTCGACCCCTGTTAATTTGCGTTTCAAACTGCTGCCTCTTCCCAGCATAACAACAAAAGATAAAAATGGAAGATAAAGGGGAAAAAAAGTGGTATTTATCTCATCTGCCAGACAGTCTCTGACGGGACAGGTCTGCGGCAGGCGCAGTCCCTGACCCACCATCCCGCCCCCTCTGCGCCGGGCTCCGCTCACCTTGGACCACCAGCTCCCGGGCCGCCGGGGCGGGCGGGTGCCCCCGGGGCAGCAGCGTCCTCAGCAGGGCTCGGAGCTCGCCCGGCCCGCCCCAGGGCCTGAGGGGCGGTGGCAGACACAGCTGGTCCCGCACCTCCCTCCACAGCCGGCCCAGCTCCGCGGCCCCCGCTCGCCCCTCCTGCCCACCGCCCACGGCGGCGAGGGATGGAGGTGCCTTCCCGCCCTCCCCGAGCGGCACCGTCCCCTCTGCCTCCACGGCGGCTCCGCACAGCCGTCTGTTGGCCACCTGCGGCTTCTCCAGCCACACGCGCACGGCCGCCCAGAAGCCGCGGGGCAGCACGGCCCCGCCGGGGTCCCGCACAGCGGCCGTCCCCACCGGCCCCATCCCCCGCCGCTGCCGCCGCCGCGCCGCGGGAGGAGGAGGCGGAGCGCGTCGCAGGCTGCTCCCGTCAGTTCCCGAGGCGGGGACGGCGGCGGTTCCAGGTACGTAGCTCTCCCCGGGCTGTGGCTTCGAGGCGCCGAGCGCCGTGAAGGGCGCGGGGAGAGACCCCGCTGCGGCTGGAAACACGGGGAGCCCTGAGCTCCCGGCAGCGAGTGAGGCCGGAGGGTCGTCACTGCATTTGTAGCACTGTTTGGGGAAGGTCGTTGTCGCTGTCACAGCCTTCTTGAGAGCGGACTCTAGACCGGGAACTCTGACAGTCCCAGCTGTCCGTCCCTTCAAGGAAACGTGTCGATACATTTTGTGTACATTTCGTACACAAAACGTAGTCTCTTTCTGCTTCCTCTGAGCAGAAGCGAGGCCCTGCCGTGAATTCAGGCAGTTCAAGTAGCGGCTGTGCAGTGAACCCTCAAAGGGCTCCCGCAGAAGTGGTTCATGCCCTGCCTTTACCCTCCCCGGGGTTGTCCTTCTCTGGGCGACTGCGCTCAGCAGCTCACTTGGAAATGCAGAGCCGCTATAAAATAAAATAAAATAAACACTGCTGATGTCATCTCACAGAATAAGGGTACAGCATCATTCTTGACACTACCAAGTGTCTGAGCCGTGTCGTTGTTACACAAGATAATCGACGATAGCACCCTGCAAACTGACGTTTCCCCTCGTGATTTGTGATCCGCTGTTGTCCGGTCATGAATTTGAATTACCAGCAGGAGCGCTTTCCGCAGAAAAAAGTTGCCAACTCAGCATTTCGCGGTGAAACTGCAGCCGTTCTTGGCAAATTGAAAATAATGTGTTTTTTACTGCCAGCTTCACACGCATTTCGACATATCAGGACGAGGCTGAAATTAACACCGAGGGTATTCTTTAGGGCAGTCCTTTGTTACTTTCCTATTGTAACCGCCTGTTTTGGATTCCTAGTTAGTTTTGAAACTGTTTGCTTGGAGCCAGATTATACTAAAACATTGTGTGAAGTCGGATTTAAGTACAGTATCCTTTTTTTAATTATTTTATTTATTATTTTTTCCTCATATGGGCAATCTCACTGATTTGCAATGTCAATAAAGTTAGATGCAGTACCTGCAATATTTCAGCATAATCTTTGTTATTAGTCAGAAGCCTTGAACTTCTGCCTGATTTACCTGTTTTCCAGCTAAAAGTGCTATACCTATTTATTTGGCTGCAGGTTAAAACACTTTCTCATTGCCTTTTCCCCCCCCACACCTCTCATTTCTTTCCAAACCTGTTGTTCAGTACTGGAGCTGCACCTTCTTAAAACTGATTTGGGAGTCACATGCAGAAATACTATCCTGCAGTCCTCTTCTGCTATGTCCACAACTAGGGGATGTCCTCCGTGAAAGGATAAGGTTGAAGACGTAGCAAAGAGATATATCAAAATGATGAGGGAAAAAAATGTGATGGAAAAAGCATATGACTGAACTAGTGGTTTCTGTACTTTATTATGTTCAAAGTCCATATGGAGCCCTTGGACAGCCCTGCACCTGGATGTCCTACCTGTTCCTTTGAATTGCTTTCCAGCCAGTTTCTTCGTTAAAACATGGCCAGTTTCTACTCCCCTGCCCGATGATTTTTGCACTTTACAAGTATGATAGAGATCTCTGTCGCCTGCGTGGTGGCAGGAATTGCTGGGTGTGCCATGAGCAGCAGAGGGCCCTCTGACACCAGCTTCTGTAAGCAGCAGAGCTATCAGCCTTTACTCCTTTAGGCCAGGTTCTAACAGAAAGCAAGGTGTTCCTTCTCTCCTAAACCAGTGCAGTTGTACTTACTGGTAATGAAATCCTGCAGCATCTGTGCAGTTTTGCAGTGCTCTTGCATGACCCATAGATGCACACAACAAGGTGCCAGCAGACTTTGTGGGGTCATACTGCTTTTGTTATTTAAGACATGGTATTTTCTTGCCTGGGTCTTTTATCAACTCCTTTCTTACTACACAATATTAATCAATAGTGTCCCTGTTTCATATTTAGCTCATGTTTTAGTAACAAAGATGATATAATTCATTTACATTTGATCAAAGGCATTTTTTCGTAGTTTTTATCAAGCCAATTGAATCAGAAAAAGGGAAGGACACGCTTTTAGTTGGCTCTGCTCTGCTGTACTCATACATTTAAAGAAGTCTATGGATTTAATTAACAACCCTTTTGATTTCTTTTTGTTATTAAAAATCAACTTCAGTTCATGATTTATCTTTTCTCATTTGATTGCAGTTTAGCCAACAATGGCATCCACACTGAATCAGAAAGAAGCCACTGGCAACCAAAATTCATGGGATAGTTTGCTCCCAGATTTACCTAAAGGCCCGTTTTGCAGATACCGTAAGAAAGCTTCCTTCAACTGGAAAGAGATGGCAGTGTTACTAGATGGAGAAGATATCATCCAACTAAAGGTAAACTTTGCAAGAACTGTAAACATGTTTTACTTCTGGAGATATCTGTAGAAGCAAGTATGTGGTTTTCAAAGGGAAAGTAGTTAATAATACTCAGTAAACAGGGAGCATGAAGAAATTGGGTTTCCGCATCCAATTTTCAGAACAGAGATGAACTTTTAAGCAACCTACTTTGCTGTCTCATAAGGCTCATTTAATTACTCATAAAACATCAGTATAGGGGAGACCAGCAGGTGCTACGTTACAGAACTTTAGTGTTCATTTCAAACTGAGAAAGAACTATATTCTACCATATTTCTTTACTGTCTGCATTAAGTCATTTATCCCATGGTTTTGCAAGGCACTTAAGTGGAGCTAAGTTCAAGCCACTGTCAAACATAGTATTTCTGTCTGTCTTTCACCTGACATAATTTCTCACAACCTTCTGTGCTTGCATTAATGCTTATGTGATGTTGCAGTTGGACAGATTAGCATGTCTACCTCGCTGAAAGCTAACCCTACCGAAAAAAAGAGATTAACTGCCGCACAAAAGATGGTGTGGAAATGCATAACTTGGAGATGTAAGAGAAGAGCTACCTTTTTTGAAGGTGGTGTAGAGTTATATGGATTTAAGCTAATTTTGAATGTTCACCATAATTATTAAAATCCTGGCAGGTAGATCAGAGAAATCAAAAGGCCTTTTTCTGCATCTGACTGGTATGTGTAAGAGCATAGAAAGAACACAAGTGCTCTGTGTCTGAGGGAGTTTCAAAGCTGTGTGGGCATATAGTGTTGTTCATCCAGGGAGAAGGAATGACCCTGCTTTTCAAAGGAAAGTACAAGGAGTCTGGTTTTCTTCCTTCTTATTGTGTCATTCTCTTCAGATAGAAGGAAAGGACTTCAAAAACATTTTTAAAAGATTTTGCTTAAGGCACTGCAATTTTTTTTTTCTAAATTACATGAAAGACAATTAAGATGTGGATATCTTGAAGACACAGATCTGAGGTAAAAAAGTGCCATAGTATATTATGGAAAATATACCAAAGTATATAATGGAAAAAAAGATCCAAATTAAAACATTAAAAGTTGCACATCTCTGTATTGAGTGGCTGCATATGATGGTTCCATTAAATGGAGTACATTTCTGCTTTCATCTGGGAACAGAGCAGTTGTAGCTTAATGGCTTTACCATCATGGCATATTTCTAACTGAACATAACCCCTGGAGTTTTACCTTTGTCCTCACATTGAGGGACGTTGCCCTTTAGATCCTGCCAGCAGCTTCATATATTGAAATACTGAAGCTGCTATAAAAAGCAAGTAAGGTTTACCATACTGTTCTCATACATTCAGAGTGAATCAATGAATCATTACTTCATTATGAAGAAGCTTTCATAAAATTACACTGCACGAGCTCTATATATAATGAGAGACCATTTAAATATATTTTCTAATGCTCTGGAGTTTTTACTTTATAAATTTACACCTTTTATCAAATGATTGTAGTTTGAGGCCTTGTATTATCCCAGAAGAATTAACTGGTTTTGTTAATGCTTTTAAATTAACATTTTCATGTCATTTATTCTGCCCTCAAGAACAGAATCTTCTCTGCTCTGGAAAGTGATCCTCTCTTTGCACATCATCCTGGAGAAGATTTGTACCGTGAGAAATATCAGGAGCTGACATTTCTGCGCTGTAAAAGGCTCTTTGAGTATGATTTTCTTCCTCAGCAAGAGATCATAGAGAACCCCTTAAAGATCTTTATTATGGTGCTCTGTATAGGAATGTACGATTGGTCTCTATGTCTCCAATTTGTCTTACATAGCGGTGTAAGTACAAGTCAAGGGGTATCGAGGTGTATATTTATATTTGAATTTCAGTAACTTGTAATATCGTAATTTTGTTGCTTTATGCCTATTTTATTAAAGTTATATCTTTCCCTAGTCCTTTATTTTCAATAACGAAATTAAACTTTAGCTGTTTAGAAGCATCAGGTATCAGAAACTCCCTTGCCTAAACCCCAATGTCTTGATTAAGGTCAGAATCCAGAAGGAATGGAAACCAGTGTGAAGTTTCTCACTGACATCAGTGGCTGGATTCTGTTAATAAGTTGCTTCCTAGATGAGTCTCTCAGGATACTCAACATAGCTGGTCAAATAATATCAGTTGAATTAATTAATTATTACTCTTCAGGTGGAAGAGGGGGATCCAGGAATTATATTTTGTTATGTGAATATCTGTCTAGGAAAACTGAAGGTAACTTTAAAACCAGCATTTTTGTCTGATCTTGAAGCAGTACCTTCAGTTCCTAATCCGTTTGCAGGAAAATGAACTGGAATAGTCTTTAGGTTTTGCTTTACTGAAGAGGACATCATTAAGGACAAGTAGAAAGCATTTTTAAGCATTTACAATGGAGACTTGAACAGGTTAGAGCTGTGATAAGTTTACTCTTCTGTAAAGGGGCCTTGACAAGATGAAATCCTGCCTTACCTCCCCCAGCTATAGTCTAAAGGTAGTTTACTGTGCAGTCCGCTTTCCCTGGTCTCTTTACTGTCCATCACTATTACAAATCATGTGCAATTTGTGCTTTCCATCATGGGCCAGTGATTTAATTCATAATTCTCTGTTTTTACAGGTATTTGGAACTGCAATCATGAGTGCTTATAAGAGGTTTGCACACATTTTGAAACAAGCTTATAGAATGGAGGTAATTTTTTAAAATAACTTGTGAGAAGTGAGCACCTTCGGAACCGTGTCACCACTTGCAGCTTTTTGTTATTTCTATCTCTGTACATACCTAAGTACTTATAAATAGCAAAAGAAAAGACCGTGGGGCAGATTCAAGCGCTGAGCTCTGACCATCCTCACTAGTGGCTGCTAAACCACTTCTTGGATCTCTTTTAGACTGTCCAAGTTAACATGCAGACAAAGTCTGGGGACTTCTTCCAAAAGGCAGTACAGATGACACTACACCAGTTTTGTCTCTCTCTGGTCATTTGAGAGTATCCTACCAGGATGTCCATACCCTTACCATGATGCCATAAAAATTCAATTCTGATGCTGTAAAATGGAAAATAATAATGTTTTAATGCCAGAGAAACACCATATGGAGTCCAGTGGAGACTCAGAACCAAGTGTCCTGCAGAATAAGTGCTGCCTGTCTGATACAGGAGGTGCCAGTCCTAAAGAGTTTCTCCAGTCCAGGCCATGTGGGCAGTGTTCATTGTCTGGCCAGACCCTCTTTGATATTGTAAGATAAATATACTGAGTGCACCCGAACTGAGCTTCTTTTGTTACTCTTCATTGCAATCATTTGAAAGTCTTTCAGTTTTAACTACTGTAATAAGGTGGTCTTGAACTGTACCTTGTATCTCCTTATTTAGATTTTTGGATGTTTTGCTCTGACTGAGCTCAGCCATGGAAGTAATACCAAAGCCATACGAACTACTGCCACATTTGATCGGAACACTCAGGTTAGTCCTTAATGCACAGGAATAATGTTTGACAATGTTAAACTCTGTTATTTACTAACAGAACAGAGTGATTCAGGGATTTCTTTTGATTAACAAGAAAGAATCAAGTTCAACTTCAAATGTAAAAAAAGTTGTGATACATTTACATTATTATAAATTCTTAAACCCATTGTTTACTGTTAAACAATAACAATTCCTGTTTTCTTGCTTTCTCTTCTGGTTGTGATACAAAATAAGGATAGAAGCCTTTTCCTTTGTTGTGCCTCTTAAGGAAGAGTTGAATGTGCAGATTAAATTGTCTTTTGTCTTTAAATATTAAGGCTTTTTGTACAAAGATAAGGATTATTTCCTAGGATGGGAAAGACAAAAAAAGATGTAAGAAGACTGTCAAACAGACCCAAAGAAGAAAAGAATAAACTGCTTTTTCCATTAGAATAATGTTTACTATCAACACTACTGCAGAAATAAATTCATTGTCCCAGGATTTTCTTGGTAAATGATTAGAATTCATCATAGTTTTACATTAAGAGAGAAGAAAATAGAAGTTGAAAGAAGGCTTTTACAACTTTTTCTCACTCTTTGTCATCTACATGCTTGGTTCACGACACATAGAATTTAAAGTGTATTATTTAATGTCCCAGGAAGGTGTTCTCATCTCCCCCAAAGACTGTGGCATTATTGCACTGTAATATACAGAACTGAGCACTATTGCTGCAAGCAAACGATGGCACATCATGAAGTGGCTTCGCAGTAAAGAGAAATGAGAATCATAGATTTCAAATGTGAGATTTTATATTCTGCAGTAGGACAACATTTCAGTCTGTATTTTTTCACATACAAGCAGTTCAGTGAGCATTTATGCAACATGGACGATTAGATCTCTTTCCAGAGAAAAACCCACAAACAAATCATGCTGCTTGTGAGACCAGCAACATGAGAAGTTCCATTTAAATAAGTTGAGTTTTAGGCTGGTGATGAGTGCACTGCAGTAAAAGTGACTGAAATGACTAATTATTTGATCAGATCATAAAGCTCCTGAATTCAGGTTTCTTTTACATCCAGAAAGCATGCGATGTCTAGATTTCAGGATGCAAGTATTCTTCAGAATTTTGACAACTTGTGGTCCCCCATTTGTCCAAAGTGGGAAGTGTGCTGCCTTTCACACTGTTAACCAGGCTTTCATTCTGTACAAAACTGTGTAAGGAGGAGGTGGTCCCTGCACAGGCTTCAGCCCTCACAGCTGGAATAGCCCTCACAATCCCTCACTTGAGCTCACAGCTCAGTTTAAGCCAAGGTCTAGGAAATGCTTCTGAGTCCATCAGTCTGCTTTATTTTTTTTAGGTGCTTAAATGAGCAAGTAAAAAGGGTGAATTTCAGGCTTTACGGTGAAGTAATGAACTTCCTAAACCGTAATTTTTTTCCTTACTCTCCAAAATTGAATACAGTAAGAGACATATTGTTTGTTGGAGTGCAGTACTGAATAAAATCCTGGCAGTTAATGAAGGTTTTCAAAGCATTACCAGGGTAATGAAAAAAAAAAACAACCCAAAATACCTGCGTGATGAATTTTATGATGTATATAATTTTTTTTCTTTCCTGGCTACAGGAATTTATCATCAATACACCTGACTTTGAAGCTGCAAAGTTCTGGGTTGGTAATATGGGAAAACACGCCACTCACGCGGTTTTGTACGCCCAGCTCTATACTCCTGATGGACAGTGCCAAGGATTGCATTCTTTTCTTGTACAGGTAGGGTGGAAATATTGCCAGTCCTTTTTTCTTTTGTGGGTTCGAATTAAAGACTTTCTGTTGGGCTTTATTTATCTCTGACCTGCAGATTGTTTATTTCATGCTGTCACAGTTTATTGCAATTGTAACAAGTTTTTAAGTGTTCGCTGATTTTGCGATGGTTGTACAGCCAGTTTTAGACTGTCAGTTTTCTGCAAAGAATTCTGAAAAATACGAAAGAGCTGAAAAGTGTCCAGACAATCATGGTACTTATATAGTTAGAACTCACCTATGTTATAGGAAGTCCTGAAAGTCTTGCATGAGGCTTAAGGTGATTTATGTCTGCCAGTGCTACAGGCTGATTTATATGAAATGTACAAGCTTCTACCACAGAAGCCAGTTTCTAGGGTTAAAGGCATCAGAAAATATGGCAGTGCAGTAGAAAACTTGTACATAGTAAAAGGAACTAGTTGCACACTGAACAGAATTTGTTACAGAATTGGGGAATATTTCAGAGGTGATTGTTACATAAAACTTCCATTGATTCCTACTGTGTCAGTGTACATCTGAAGAAAATTTCAGTGCTAGTCTGATGACAGCAGTCATTAGTGTTAAGGCATATTTAACACGGTTGTGTGATTAGTGCCATTGCCAAAGTAATTTTCATTAAAAGATCTATGTCCTGGTTAAGTACAAGCTCTATCCAGGATTATGTGCTTAGAAGAAGCAGAGCTTTCTTTAGTGTTAATAAGAGAGTACAAGTTGAAAATATTTTCATTGTTTGAAAAGTTCAGCCAATAACTCTCATTGTTCCACAACTGAAATAATGTTTCGTTTCACTTCTATACAGATTCGAGATACAAAAACTCTCCTACCAATGCCAGGTGTGATGGTAGGGGACATAGGAAAGAAAATTGGACAGAATGGGTTGGATAATGGGTAAGTCAATCCATTTGAAGGAGGAAACATTCTCAGTTATATCACAATGTAGTGATGCAAATATCCCCCTGTGTCAGTTCTGTCTTCACTTCTTAGGTGTTGGCAAGTGGTTTTAAACTGTTGGTATTTCTCAAAAAAAATAAAACAAAACCCAGACTGAAAAATGTTGAATTTTAGTATTTTCCATCTAAATATACATAGTCTTTCAGCTTCTCTAACCTTTTAAAATGTGAATTGTCCCTAGTATTCTGTGAATATCCCCAAGCAGTCTTTCAGTCACACACTCTGCAACAGTAATAATTAAAAAAAACCCAACAAAGTCATTCCAGTAATTCTGAGTAAAGAACTTTATCAACCTCTGCACTCATCTGGGTGTAAGCCTGTAATTATTTTCTCTGTTGATTTCCAGCCCACAAGAAGGCTAATTGTTTTCTTCAATATTGTTAGTAAAGATGTAAGATTAATAAGGCCCAGTAGAGAAACTGTATCTTTTTTAAACAGTGAGATTTCTGGACTAGTCCTGGTCACTGCAGAAGAGAAGGAGAAGGCTTGGGGTTTTTTTTTTCTGTATTCTCTGTGTGTAGCTGAAATAAAAAATACCTGAGCTCCATTTTTTAGTGATGGGCTTCAATGGCCTTACTGTGTCTCTGCTTTACTAACCAAAGAAGTCTGATGGGGAGGAGAGGCAGTGAGGAAATTGAAGTAGATTTCTGCATTAAAATGGTCAATATGTAAAAATTACTATTTAAACTCTTGTATTAGTTACATAGCTGTGTATAAAGACAGAAACTTAAAATAACAAGGAGGGGAGTCACTGCTTTATGCCTTAAATTTACCTCTTTCTGTAGATTAATTTCATTACAGATATATGTATTGTCCTTCATAACATACCATTGCAGTAAAGTATAGACATCCTAAAGTATTTTGTTTTCAAATGTAATTCCTTTGGCTGTCTTTCCAGAAGGTCACAGGTCTTCCTTCTGTAGTTTGTTGCCTGTAGCAGCCTCTTCCTTTTGTCCCAGATATGCTCTAGTGGCAAAAATAGCACTGAAATTTTTGTTTGTGTAGCTCAATCTCATTGATTCTCTGTTTCCTGAAGACACAGAAGAAATAAATACAAAAAAATTAAAAAAAAGAAAATGAAGTTTTATAGAGGAAAAATGTGAGAAAAGACCTGGAAAAGAGGGAGGTTCGGGTTTGGGGGCATATTTTTGCCTGCTTCTACATTACGAACTAGTAGCCACCAGATGGCACAGTAACATGGACCTGAGCAATCTAAATGTACTTCAACTATATATTTCTGTAGAAATGTTCAAATACTGCTGTTCATTCTTAATATGCAGCATAGTTTTATGTGCAGCACAAGGAAGAACTGTGTGCTTTTTGCATTAATTCAAAATGTATATAGTTTTAAATCCTTTTTTCCCTTTCATCTACTGGGAAAAATAGAGCCTTTCTTAAAATATTGATAACTGATTAATCTAAAATTATAATCCACATAATAAAATGTAAATAAGAGATATCAATGACCTTCTAGCTTAATGTCAGGTGGAGTCCCTTATCTTAGTTATGACATCATATGTCATTTAAAGCAGTCATATTTTCTAATCATTCTAATCTTCTTGTTTCCTTTGCCTTATTTCTTTAAAAAAATAATATTTTCTTCTAACAGCAGTGCCTAAAGAGCCCCAGTTGTGAATCTGTGTCTCTTAAGTATGCATTAAGACAGTCCCTGCATTAGAAAGCTTAAGACAACTCCTGCAGATTAAGACAGAAGAGCAAGAGAGCCCAAGGTTACCAATAGATACCCTTTATTCAGCTAAAAACTCCAGGAGCCTGTGTTCCTGAACTACCTCAGCTATTTGGAGAGCTCTGAGGCAAGAAGCCAAAATTGTTCACAAGAACTAGAGAACTAATTTTTGTTTTGTGACCTTCCTGCTCACACTGAACTGTCAGAAATGTCAGGATTTATAGACATTGCTTCTCAGAGGCACACGAAGGTGTGGATGGGGACTGGAGAGGGAGTTGCTTCAGAGTTCTGCGTTTGTTTGTAGAAACAACAAGCTGTGCCACCCCAGAAAATGGACTGTTGGTTGCATGATCTGCAAAATGCCAGATATACAGGGAGACATTTCACCAGACACTGCCTTGTCAAGGTGTTCTCCTTAGCTGTTTAGTAATCTTATACCCTAGCTTATCCCAGAGAAAGCACAGCCTGCAGTGTAGAAGCCTGTTGTATGTGGGGATGAGAAAACATTCCCTTATGCCATGACTACAGGTGTTAACCTCTACTGCATGGATTGCCAGGTTTTTTGAATGTATATTTGAAGCCTGGTTCAATTACCATAAACACTTAGTCAATAGGTCTATTTTCATGTAGTTACACTCAGGATATGTGGTCAGTCTGCCATCTCTGTCAGAGATGTTTGATTTTGTTGCTGTGCTTCAAGAAATTTATGCTAATGATTTTCAATATGAATACAGAGAGTTAAGTTCCTGAACACTAATGAAGGTCACAGGGAAGAAATTCCAGAGCCTCCTTGGAAAATGCCATTGATTTATGCTATGTAAGAGAACAGGGTAGGAGACTGTACTTGTCTCTTCTGGCTTTGGAAAACAATTAATCTCTTGGGTTGTTTGACTAAAAGCTGGTTTCCTGCTAATGCAGAATGTAATGTTTTAGTAACAGAAAGAATTTCATAAGTAATGTGGGAATTTTCACAGTGTAAGTCCATTTCTCAGTCTGTCTTTCCAAATAATTCTCATAGTTTCATAATTCAAATGTCCAAAAATCACATGGGGTTTACAGGTCTTTGTAACTTCACTATCCTGACAAAGAAAAGACAAAATCACTGTAAAATATTTTAAAAATATTTTTCTTTCTCTTGGAAATTTGCAACAATTTGTGTAATTAATGCATAAATGGGTAAAAATAGAACTCCAGTTTTTTTGATGGAGAGTTTAGACTGGTTTTGTGTTTTGTTACCAAAATTAAATCAAGACTGCCACCAGGGGTTGCAAGTGCTTCAGTCTTTATTTTATGATACTAAAATGTCCACCTGTTGCTAGTGCTCTGGCACTAGTCTTTGAAATATGCTGTTCACTGCAAACCCAAAACGGAAGTAGCTGAGGGGAAAAAAACAACCACTGAAAAAATCCCTGGGTATTTGGGATTTCAGGGACTTTGCAATAAAAGAAATAAGGGAAGTGTGTGTGACACACGTATATTGGGTAAGTGCTGATGTGCATTTCTGTTACTTTCCTATACTGTGGGGTTTTTTTGTTTGGTTTTTTTTTCTGTCTCCCTTGGCTGATGTTACATTACCAAAAGTACCCATTACTGCAGTGTGCATCAGTAATTGATTGACACTGGGCTGGTGGTGAACCAATTTCATGTCCATTTGTAACTAGCAGCAAATTGCTTCTTTCCCCTCTCCAGAGATGGAAATGATGCCCATCTGAATCTACCTGGGGAAGGTGAAAATCAGCTATAATTGTGTTTCTGAAGTGGTGCTTACTATGCTTCTCTTTGTAAAATGTGTTCTGAGCTCATGCAGCTCTATCCACTGATAACATGTATAGAGTTTGATGAGCAGACAAAACTTATGATAAAGGAAGAACTAGTGAAATGAAGCTGTCATATTAGCTGAATTTTTTGTAGGGGAGAAAAGAATCTTTCTGGGGGAAGAAGAATTGTTAACTGGATCTCATTATAATAATGCACTTTGGAAAACTGGTGAGTTTTATTAGCTGTTTAATAAGCTTTCATGTACAGTTATGTCTGGCTGCAGGTATACAACATGCTAAGATGTTCAGCATATTCTCTAGCAATCAGTGAGGCCAGATTTAGTTTTCTGGATGCTGAAAACAAAACAAAATATCCAAGAGAAAATGGGTAGAGGGGATTTATGGGTAGAAATGCAGTAAATGGTGTAAAAGAACCCCTTCTAGAAAGAGTTTGCAGGCTCTGAAAGCCCTCAGTACAATTCCTTGTATATTGGCAAAGGTGGCATACATCACATAACCTCCAAACCTTTACAGACAATTTTATATGGTTAATTCATATTTTTTTCTTTGTTACTACTTCAGTATGAGTGCCAATAATACATTATGATTCTGCCACTGCTAGTTTAAGGGCAGAACAAATGAAAGTCTGGTCCTTCAAAAGGTCTTTGTCTCCTAGTATTTATCCTCTTAACTCTCTCATTTAGATTTTGCAATGGTTGCAGTTATTTCACTAGGAAGTTAGGAGCTGTAATGCATGGTTGAAGTGTAAATAGTCTTTGGAGCTTCATCTTTCAATCTGAAGCAGTAGTTTGGTGAAGATAATATCTGTAATCAGCTTTTTTTGTTGTTTGCTTCTGCTCCCATACTGCCTGTTTCTTTGTGCTGGGGTGAACTTTTATGTAGCTGTGTAGGGGACTCAGCTAGGGAACTGGAACTGCCTGAAAACTAATCTGAAAAAAAACACCAGACAATTTTAGCTGTCTTCAACCAGATCATTTGTTATGTGTGGTTCACTGCAAGGCCTCAGGAGTGGCTGTTTCAGTACAGGGAAAGGGACAGTACAGAGATGTGAATAAGAAATTAAGTATAGAAATCAGTCCTGCTTCCCAAATAAACAAGTTTGGGCTTGTTTAACATTTTTTATTGACTTACGGCCTCTGACCTAAGTCACAGACAATTGCAATAATGATGAAATGGCTGTAAAAGAAAAATAAACGTTAAAAATGCCTGTGCCTGTATTTACGTTATCTGAATATACCATCAATACTTCAATCCTTGTGAAAAGTGCCACTTTCACAGTTAAAACCAAGTAGTTTGCAGACACATCTTACATGTTTTCAGTTTAAGTGAAAACAGTGATTTTCGTTGTAGTTAAGGTTAGACACTATATGGGTACCTACAGTGCTGTGCAGGTTACTAAGATGCAGTCACATAGCTGGAGAGTGCTGCCGTATCCCCTCATTTTTATCATGTTCACGTGCCTCACAGTTCTACAGCCATATCTAATTCACACTGAAAGGCACTTGGTGGTGCTAATGGGGAAAGGTAGATTCAGGTCTGGTCACACATTTGTTTTATCATGCACAGAAATACAGCCTCACGTCTGCAGCAACCTTCAAACAACCTTTTTTCTTCCTTAGCAGAGCTCTCTCAGCTCTCCACAGTTGCAGGAGTCTGCACATCCAGAGCTCCTTGCAGGACTGGCACTTAGTCTGTAAGAACTTTAGAATAAGTGGGTCTATTTGTGTTCATGAAGTCCATTAAGGTAGGATTAGGAGCCCATAAAATGCTATGTTGTTTTATCAATGCTATTCAGTATTACTGTACAGAGCTGCATTCTTAGATTAGAAACTTCATTGTAGAAACTAGAGCTGAAATACTGCCTTGCAGTTTTCCCCAGCATCTCTGTAACTCTTTTCAACTCCAACCTTTCTGCGAATTTCAGTCTGGCATATCTGGCTATTTTCTTTCCTTCTGAAAGTTTTTCACCAAACCTCTGAAATGTTATTCTTCCCAAGGCTCGTTGTATCTCATAAACAGCCGTGAGATCACTTGACTCACGGCCTTCCAATACCATTCACCTGTTTTCTGTTTCTGGCTGAAAGTCTGGCTGGTGTCCTTGCACCATCTCTAACATAGTCAGTAACAAAAGCTGGCAGAAAAGGCATTTTAGTGAGTCTGAAATTCACCAAAGCATGTTTGAGTGATTTGTACTATAGGTAACAGCTTATTAATTTAGTACTGGCAAAAGGAGCTCGTACCTTTTCCAGCTGCTCCTCTTTTATCCTCTTTTGTCGCTGCACACCAGCTGAATTACTATTGCATGATTTAAAGTCAGTAAGATTAACTTAGCTTGAAATGTTCCCTAAGCTACTGGCCAAAGAACCCAAACAAGAATGCTGCTATTGGAATAGCACTTCACTCTGCTCAGCTAGTCAAGGTAGAAATCTGTGTGATACAGTTTTTACCTGTGTTAAAATATGTGGTTTCATGATGCAAAATTCCACATCGCTGTAGAGCCCTGTGATATATATTTCAAGTGACAGCCGTCCGTCTGTCTTGCCGAGAGGTCTTAATCTCAGTCATGCTATTTGCTATGCTGAAGAGGCCCTAAGTAGGGCAGCTTTCAAACCTCTGGTCTTGTCATCACTGTGTGAAATTTAGCCATTTTCCAAACTTGCTGGTACATGATATCCCCATGACTGTGTATGCAGTTCCATTATTGTAAGATATTCCTTCAATTCTTTAAGGAGATTTTTCCCCTAAATGCGTTGACAGATGTGGGCCAAGTCTGTGCTTTCTAGGTTAATAACCATTAGAAACGTGATCATTGACTTCATTAAATCTTACTATTTATTTTTAATATGTTCCAATATCAAGTTCAAATTGGCCAGTGTGTCTAACAATTCCCAACAGCAAAGTTCTTGGAGAAGGAGCATAGCAGCCGTTAGCAGCGATCTCACAAGGTCGCCTAAACGCCTAGTCCTGTAAGGTTCTGCATTTATTTTCAACACTGGTGCTTATAGGCAAAATATCTTATTTCTTTACGGATGGGAATTTTCTATGTGATTTTTAATTGCTAGTTCTGCCACTCTCTTTTGCTTCTTAAAGTCTTTGCCATCTTATATGTGTATCTGTATATCTTATAGCAACTTGCAGGAAAAGAAGTAAATAATGTATCTGGGAATAATATCAAGGGAAAGTATCAAGTAAATAATATCAAGGGAAAAAAAATCTAAACTTTCAAAACCTGTTATTTGAATTCCTTTTGATTTTAAGAAAATAGGTTATTATATAACTATAGGAAATTCTGTATTCTGGTTCACTACCTGTGAGAAAAATTATTTAAGAAGGGTATACATGTAGTTTTTAATCATAATAATTCTTAGCCTCTTTTATGTGGTACAGAATTAGCTTCATTATATTTATGTCAGACAGATTATAATAAAACTCTCTTAAATGTTTTTCACGCTTTCCAACAAAAGATTTCCTCTAGATTTAACTGTTTGGGATTGTATCACAACAGGTGAAAGTGGGTAAAACTGTTTAGGTCATTTTGGGAGCTGTTTTGTTTGTCACTCATCTGTCACATGTTTAGTATGAGTAGGCTTGAATTTCCTAAAAGTAGGTTATTGCTATATGGATTTACATAGTAGCAGATTTGAATTTGCTTTTTATGAACTCTTGAATCTCAAGCACATGTCAATATAAACAATTCTCTACAACTGCACAACTTTGCTGAATGAATTGAACAAATCACTACAGTGTAAAAAGCAACTGGATAATTTGCCATCTTATTCATTGTCATTACCTATCAAATAACAAGTGACAGGACAAAAGGAAATGGGCTCAAGTTGCACCAGGGGGTGCTTTAGGTTAGAGATTGGGAAAAATTTCTTCACTGAAACAGTGTTCAGGCATTGGAGCAGGCTACCCCGGGAAGTTGTGGAATCACCATCCCTGGAAGTGTTCAAAAGGCACGTGGATGTCACACTTGGGAACATGGTAAACATGGTAGTGCTGGGTTAATGGTTGGACTCAATCTTGGAGGTCTTTTCCATCCTTAATGATCCTATGATCACTACCATGGATCTTACCATTCATCACACACAAGGCTAAACATGTTTCAAATAGGTATTTGCAAAGAGATTTCTTCCTAATCTGTGCCACAAAGATCATATTGTCTCTCTGTTAGGTCAACTCTTCCTTTAGTCTGGTTTATAATTCCAGTTTTTATCACCCATGTGGTAGCTTTTTAAAATGATACTGCTTTCTTCCATGCATCTTTTCCTACCTGGGAGGGATCCTTTATAAACATCCAAGAGACACCCTTACTTTGATCACTGATTCTTTCTTAAAATTCTCATTTACTCTAATGGCTTGTAAAAAAAAATGCCATTGAATAGCTGCCAGTGTGCTGTGACTGGCAGGTATCCTGTCAAGAAATTATCCTTCAGTAGTTAGTGTCAGCTAAACTGCTTGTTTGAACATATTTGTCGCTTCCTGCCTTTATGCTTGAATAGTAAGGTCCTAGGAGGAAATACCTTCTTGGAATTCTATGGATGTAGAGCAGCTATGAGAAGAAAGTGCTAAACCAGGGACCTAAACCTTGCCATGCACATTCTCCTATACTTAAAGTAATGAGTAGTAATAATTTAAAAGTTCAAGTTCTGTCTAAGATGCATGCTATTGCTTAAAAATTTTGCTGGTTATACAGTTTTAATTGTGATTCTGTTTGGGATATAGGGAGCAGAGAATGTGAATTAACCCTAAAGATCTTTCTTGAATGAGAATTTTTATTTTCAGTGATATGAGAAAATATTAACAAAGATGAAAATCAGCTTTCTGGAAGTTCTGAATTTTTTTTGGTTATGAAGTAGTGTTGTCTCAGAGAAACTGGCACTTAACAAAGCACTTATTAAGACTGTTAAGGCCAGTAAGCAGCTGGTCCTTGGTTAGGATAGCACGCCTTTCTCTGTGTCTACGTCCTAAAATACTGTGTATCTCTAAGGCTGAATAAATTCCATATGCAGATACGTTTCCTTGGAAACAACTCATAATTTAACAGCACATGCAGCAATGCAGCCCTTATGTAATTTATTAATGTGAAAGACCTGGCTCTCGTGAGCCTTAATAAATAGATCAGCCTGTATTGGCAGGGAAAAGGAATTTTCTTTGATTACAAATACAGCTTTTCAAGTGCTATTAGATAGTGACATATTTGTGAGTGGAGTTGATACTACTGCTATTGTGCCAAGTTCTATTGCCCGTTTGGGTGAAACAGTTCAGACACTTTCTTTCTGAACAATATGAATACTCAGGACATTCTTCCTATTCTAACAACTTCCCTCTTTATTGCTGCTAGGGTGCCACAATTTAGAAAACGTTGTCCTGGTCTTCCTTTTTAAGATGCCACATTCCAGGGAGCAGAATTCCTAATCTGAGTTTAAACAAAGGAAAAATTTCCATTTGTTTCCTCCTCAGAGCACTATTGCAGCTATGTCCTCATTTGTTTTGCAATAGCATGAATGATCCTCCCAGATCTGTATTTTAGACTCATAAAAATATATAGTGCCTCTATTCCAAAGCAATCTCCAGACTGGACTAAACAACAGGTATATGCTTCAGTAAAGCATATACTTCAGCAGAATTGTTAGTGGCAGGGAATTATTAGGAGTAAGAATGGTCCAGTCAGCTTCTAGGCAGGAGAAGGAAGTTGTTCATCTTCTGAAGTTTTTTGACATCTGAGATGTCAAGCTAAGTAACTTACCTAGGCTCATGCAGACTGAGAATTCAGTTCAAGTGTCTGAGGTGTTGGTGAAAGTACCTGTCAAACTGCCTGTGTATAAGTTCTCTAATAAGTGACTTTTCTTGTCCCTTCCCTCAGATAGAATACATTGCTCATCCTTCCATTACTTTTTTACTACTTTACTTATGAAGCTGCTGAAATGGTCTCCTAGAGTCAATGAAGTGTGTGTTTTGGTTTTGTAAGCATCATCTTTTTAAAGCAAACCCAAAAAACCAGATGAATTACAACAACTAATCTCCCTTCATGAATTTCTTGTGCTGCTCTTGAGTTTGAAAGCCTTTGTTGTCCCAGGCATACTCTCCTAAAATAACCTACTTGGCTTGATGGGCACAGTTTTCAGTTCACTGACATGCCTGAGATCATTGTGCAATCCTGTCTTTGTTGTGACATTTTTCTATAATGCAAACACCTCGGACCATGTAGGCATAGATTTTACATTGTGTATTTGTTTAAACAGATTCGCCATGTTCCACAATGTCAGGATACCTAAAGAAAACATACTGAATATAGCTGGAGATGTCACAGCTGAGGGGAAGTACTCAAGTTCAGTCAAGGTATGAAACAAGGATTTGTTTCATTTATATAGTTCATTAAATATACAAAATATAAGTAGATTAAGAGACAGAGCATGTGCCTCTTATGTTGAGAGGTACTAGAGACCTAAACCTAAATAAGGCTGTTGACAATTTCACATGAGATATGAATGCCATTTTTGTAATTGCATTTCAGAGATGTCTCACCTCACTGATTTTACTGAATTTAGTGCTCTTTGAGCTACCCCACTGATCTTAAAGAGTTCAGAGTTTGACGATGTTCAGGCAAGACTACTCTGAGTCTTGCCTGAAAGCCTTATCTGAATAAGTCAAGAAACAAAACTGGCCAATCCTCTGTGCTTCTAATCTCACTACCAAAGTTGCATCTTCATGGGGGCTGTGAATGAAATGTTAGCCTCACCATTCTGTCTGTGCCTTCTATTTGTTCAGGATGTTAAAGAGCGTTTTAGTGCAGCTCTGGGAACCTTGTCCAGTGGCAGGATTATGATCACGGCAATTTCCACAACCAATTTAAAGCTTGCCTTGGCAATAGCCATTCGCTTCTCAGCAGCTCGCCGCCAGTTTGGACCAACTGAGGATGAAGAAATACCTGTTCTTGAATACCAAACACAGGTAAATACTTTGGAATTCACATCTATGGACTTTTATGTAATGAAACGCAGATTCAGAACTACTGTAGGTCACAGTAGTAACACTGCAGTTAGTGAAATTAAAGTTGTCTGTATCATCTGAAGCATCATTCTAGTGCAGTTGCAGGAGTTCATTCCCAACTCAAGACCTTCTCCTGGCACGATCAAGCTTTTGACATAAGTTCTTGGAATAGCAAAACCAAAAATATTCATGTTTCTGAAGTACCTAGAAACATTTGTCTTCTAAATAGTAAACTTTTCAGAGAAAGACTGTCTTATATGCACATGTGGAAGTACTGCACATGTAGGAACTAGTATTTCTTTAAAAATTTCAGTGCTTCTTTTACTGCTACTCTAATTTTCTCTTTTTAGTCTTTATGCTTTAAAATTATAAAAATCAATGACATCCATTGTGGAGAAGTCTCAAGATAGTACTGATTTGGAGGGGAATATAATTAACATTTGTCTGCAGTTTATGCAGATGAAAACAACTTTTTGCTCTGAAAAAAAAGAACAAGAGTATGTGGAGTAACTGGGAAATAGAGAAAACTCAGATCTGCTGGATGATAAAAGTTAATATATAAAAAGTGCTGAAAACAAACCTGCCCAGTTTGTCCTTGCAATGTGGGTGCTTTTTTTCAGGTTTGCATTTAGTCTTGCAATGTTGAAAGAGTTCATGGGTTTCCACAAACTAGTGAAAGTTGCCTTCTTTCCACCACTTCTGAATAAGCTGGGATCTGCTTCCCATTATTCTTTGAGTCTCTCAATTTTTCTCTGTTTTGGCCTGTTCTGTGGGTTCTTGCTGAAAATTTCAGTCCCTTCTTCCTTTACCACGAAAGCTTTCTAAGCAGTTTCTCTTTTCCTTCACAAGACCTGAGTTGCATGGAGCAGCAAAGATGGTTTTTTCTCTGCTTCTCAGCCCTTGTTTGTTTTTTTTTTCCACAGAATGTAACTAGCACTAATATACATTCAGCAACAAACAAGCAAGTGAAATGGTTACAACCTCTGTCATGTTGGTACTGAAGAAACATATGAATTGTGACTGGCCCTGGCATGCCAGACATTTTATAAACACAGGGTAAAAAATATGTCATTGGTCCCCAAAGCTTCAGTGAACTTTTGCACTAGTTTAACAGAATGTTTATCACAAAGTCATGAAATGCAAGAACTAGAATAACATAACTGTAACTTGTATATAGTTACAATTAGTTATGTTAATAAACGGTTATTGTTAAGTTCTCCGTTAAACAGTTTCCAATTTGAACACAGTAAAAATTAATGGGTTAGTTCAATACAATAAGTATTAAAAACATATATCAATTTGTGATCAAATCAGTTTAATTTTTTTTCTAGCAATGGCGTCTTTTTCCTTACCTGGCCGCTGCATATGCCTTAGATTATTTCTCCAAGTCCCTGTTTGAGAACTATGTAGAGTTTTATGCAGGTGTGTTGACACAGCAAAGGAATCAGAGACAGGTGAGATATTTACTCATTTCTTTTTCACTGAGCTCTAACTATAATAAACAGGAAACTTAAATGAAAGACCTACTTAGAAGTCTTAGACTATTTTGCAATCAAGAATGGTGGAGCAATGTCTCAGAAATATGGGGCTACAAAGTACTTTTTAAAGTTGCATTTAGAAAAACATTAAAATTAGTTTTGATGAAGTGATTAAAGTTTTATTGATTTCTGTGGGATTAAAAGTTGTGTTTTCTTGCAGAATTTTTTATCATAAATATGTTATGAGGGTGCAAATTCAGCTTATAACTGTTGTAAATGATTCTGCAGGGAACATATATCAAGACTTTCTGAAATGTTACTTTTCTTGATTCCTGCACAAGCCTTGAGTCTGGCTTGACTTTGCAATTCAAATCCTTGCATTAGGATAAATATTTTTAGAGAAAAAAATTAAGACTTTTGAGTCAATGCTGAATTGCTCATCCACAATCAGCCCATTGGAAAGTCACCCCTTTACGGAGGAAATAGTTTAATCTATAATCTCTGTGCAAGGACTGATTCTTAATCAAAATAACAGCATTATAGGGTTTTTTATAGCATATAAATTTTATTTATTTTTACAAATTTTGACAATACAAATTGTTAGGGCCTACACACTGGCTGTGAATTGCTTATATCTTACTTAAACACTCAGGCTTTTTCAGCTAAAATAAAGCTCATGAAAGATTTTTTGTTCTAATCTCTGGGTATTCTAATTTCTCCTCTTTGCACAGGCCCCAGAAGAATCTGTTTCATTTTTTTATCTGATACTTCATCTCTGGAGGTCTGCAGTGCAGTCACTAATCTTAGGCAAAACAGTGGCTCTCAGATAGGAATAAAAATCATTGTTTGTTGAAAATGTTAAGAACCTAATCCTTTTGAATTCCTTTTGTTTGACAGGAGATCTTAAATAAACAAACAAACAAACAAAAGCAACCAGGGAGTTGCTCTTAAATAAGCCTTGGTTGTATCAAGCCACTGTGTCCAGAAACTGGAGTCCCAAACACGTTTTCAAAGGAGGGTCAGCAGAGTTAGTGTAAATGCAGACTACTCTGCTTCTCTGGAAACCAAGGGTGTACATTTAAGTTTTCCTATTCCTTACAAAACAGGTGCTTAAAAGATCAGTGAAAACTGTGCAAGGCAATAAATTTTATAAATATCCCCTTGCTGACCAGGGAAGGAGGTAGTGCTTGTGTCACAGAGGGAATGAAGCTTTCTCTGGATAGTCCACCTTCAACCACCTGCCTCTCCATTTTTGGGAGGGAAAGATTGACAAGCAGTTCAATGCCATGCCAGGTGGCACAGCTGAGCTAAGATGTACCCATGTGCCCATTACCTGGCATGAATTATTCCTGTCCCGTGTAAGAAAGTTGGTGCTGAAAGTTCTTCAGTTGTGTCAGGATTTTTCTGTGGTACCAAAAAATATGCTTACACAGATCTCAGAAAATTTTATGCATGTATTGCCAGTTACTGTTCATTGTAAGGCAATACACATATCTACAGCTTTAACTGGTCACAAACTTACTTTGTGTAAAAGTTATTACTCACTTATAACTTGTTTTTCACAAAGGCTGATTTGGGACGTGAGATTCATGCTTTATCTGCTGCCAGCAAACCACTGGCATCTTGGACTGCTCAGCAGGCAGCTCAGGAGTGCCGAGAAGCTTGTGGAGGACATGGTTACCTTGCCAGTAAGTTACAGTCTACTGCATACGCTGATCAGAGAGAGAACAGTTATGTTGATATGTTCTTCAACTGCTATTCTATCATGACGTCTGAATTTCAGCAATATGTTTAGAAAATATTTTTTCCTCGTATCCATATTTTTAAACTTTATGTCATTCCTGTTACCACAAAAAAAAACCCTAAACCTGTACAGGATCTGCACCAGCATTTGGACAGACTATACAGGCAATTTAGTCTTAGTTTCAAAAATAAAGGCGCAGACTTTATAGATGAAAATTCCCCTTGTAAGATGAGTGCCACACTTTTCTAAAATCTTTACATTATGTTCACTTTCACAAACTAAACAGTGAACTTTCAATCTCCTCTGTTCATCACAATAGTTTTATATACAGGAACAGAAAACTCTCTTGCGTTTTGTCACAAAATAATTATTTAATCTCTCTTAGCTTCCACTAGTACATTGGAATATATTAAATTATGCACTTGTTCTTATTAAGTGAATCGTCTGGGTGATATCCGAAATGACAATGATCCAAACTGCACATATGAGGGAGATAACAACGTCCTCCTTCAGCAAACCAGCAACTACTTAATGAGCTGGATGAACTGCATAAGAGGTAGGTTTTCAGTGTGGAATCTTATGCTGGACCCAACAGTGTGTAGCTAATGGAATTAGAAGGTAATTTCATACTGAAAGCATTTGACAGTCATGTAATCACTCTGTGGAGCATAAATAATGTACTACAGACTCTGTCATATGGTACATTCATAATACACAGATATTTGCTGCAAGAAATATTCTTTCTCCTAAATCTTGCAGAAACCAGCTAGATGTTTTGCCATCCCTAATCAGGTTAAGTCGTATCTTACTCCCTGAGAAGTGCAATTTGGTTCAATGGAATTACCTGAGTACTGCATCCAGTTCTGGGGTCCTAAGAACAAGAAGGATTTGGACCTGTTAGAGAGGGTCCAAAGGAGGCCACCAAGATGCTCAAGAGTACTGAAGCACCTCTGCTATGAAGAGAGGCTGAGAGAGTTGGGTTTGTTCAGCCCAGAGAAGGGAAGGCTCCAGGGAGACCTCATTGTGGACTTCCAGTATTTATAAAAAAGAGGAGAGCTACTTTTTACATGGGCAGATAGTTATATGACAAAGGGGAATGTTTTTAAACTAAAAGATGAGAGATTTAGATTAGATGTTAGGAAGAAATTCTTCCCTGCGAGGGTGGTGAGACACTGGAACATGTTGTGCAGAGGAGTTGTGGATGCCCCATCCCTGGAAGTGTTCGAGGCCAGGTTGGATGGGGCTCTGAGCACATTGGTCCAGGGGAAGGTGTCCCTGTCCAGGATGGGAGGGTTGGAACTAGATGATCTTTAAGGTCCCTTCCAACCACCCCATTCTATGATTCTGTGATTCTGTATTGGTAAAGTCATCATAAGTCTGTTTATTGTACTTTAAACAGCTCATATCGCCTAACTTGGTAGCAATATCCATCACTACATTTTGTAGTTCTCTAGATTTTGTTTCAGTTTTCCAGCAGTGAGTTTCACCAGCATCTTACAGAGCTGGAAAACATAGCAATTGGAGTTGAATCTTATGGGGCATAATTATAGGCAGTGATGTCAGGTTTTTCCACACTTGTCCACCAGTCCTCTTTTGGCTGGACTAGGCCATAATAAAATAAATATTATAGTCTAATTTCATCTGGCCTGTTGAGTATATGCATGGTTTTGTAATAGGCTTTTAGTTCCAAAAAGTCTGATTTCTTTTCTTATATATCATTTTTATTTCTTTTGGTGTTTCAGATAAAGCTCCTTTTGAATCCCCTTTGGGAACAATAAACGTTTTGCAAGACTATCATCATATCCTTGGCTGGAAATTCACAGCCATTAGTGTTGAAGATTGCATGGACTCCTCAGGTAGCCTTCTGCTGTTGTTAAACTGATTCTAGAATCTTAAATTCCTTTCCAAAGGAGACGATCTAGAGATTTGAGATTCAGCCTCTGCTATTTATTAGATATTTGTCATATTTGCTGACTTTCTTTGTATTACATGCATTTCAATTTACTAAGAACATAGTTTGCATTTCAAAGTAGGTTCTATTGTCCCCAGCCTCAGTTCTGGAATGGAGGATAGCATCAGATATTTTTCTTCCATTTTTGTGTCTCTAAAGTAATATCTGTGATTTAGGGGGATTGCCACTGTATTGCTGTTTTCCAGTTCTAAGCCATTGATTGCCACTACCTTCTATTGCTAAAACATCTTCTTTTAGAAAACCACACAAGTGATTTAGAAATATGTTGAAAAGGCATTAATTTTCTCTGGTTTTGACAGTTGCTTATGGTTGTATAGAGAAAAACGAGTAATCGTAAAAAGAAAATTCCCTACAGTTTTCCTGGTTTAGTCTGGTGTAATCAAATCAAGTATGACATTAGAAGCTGCTCCCATTTGTGTATCACTGTGATCCCAGATTGGCCCTTGGAGGCAAAAATTAAAAAGAAGTGAGCAGATAATGAGAGAGCAACAGGACACAGAGCTTAAGTGAATCTGTATAACTGAGAACATAATGGGGGAAGAAACTCCAGCCTTGATATAGAAGGAGCAATCAAGTTGATTCCTATAATTCAATAACCACTTCAGTGCTCAAATAATTACAGAAAAGCTGAACTTCAGATAGTGATGCACAGTACCAAGTAAGATAGTATCATAATAGCTACAGGGCAAAATCTGAATAAATTCAAAACATAAAGGCTTATAAGAAAAAGACTAGTTCAAAACAACTGCTTGCTTTCTTGTTTCCTGTATGTCTCCAAGATGCACAAACTGATATGTAAGCACATGTTCTCTCCTCTCTTTTAATACCTACTGAAACAGACTTTAGTTTTTAAATAAAATCTCAATCTGTTTATTGATCCATTCTGTTAGAAACTGGACTGTTAATTTAGTTGCCAAAATTTAGGCAGCATGTAAACACTCCCAATTGCCTAAATCATAGTCTACACTAAATCTTAAGCTAAGAAACAAGCGAGCAGGATTCAGGGAAGGACTTTATGCTGAATTACTTTTTGCCTTAATAGTTCCAGGCTGTTCTCAAAATATGACACAATTATGTACAAAGCTATTCATTTAAATGTGATTACCTTGAGCCATCTTTGCAATGTTGGAAGTCAAGCTTCCATTAAATGTGGACTCTCTTGTCTTCTTGTATTCTCAGATGAGACTGGGTACCTTGCAGACCTAAGTCTTAATATGAGAAAAAATTAGCAAGCTAAAAAATTTATTCAAGTCAGAAATCTAAACTGAGCTGTAGATATACCTTGTCTTCTAGCTTTGGGTCAGTATGAACTAGTGTATGGTCAGGGGTGGTGCGTCTTCACTCTACATTTACATTTTGACTGTGGTCCCCAGATATTTATTGTATCTACAGTAGTGGACAAAGTGTCATGTCAATTAACATATCAGTTAATTAACATTTTCACTTTTCATCTCAAATAACAAAAACTAGGACTGCAGTAGAATTTGCGTGTGACTTCTTGCATTACAAATGTGAATGTTAAGAATTTTGCTTCTCTCTTTTTCACAGTTCCTTTAGCAGCTTATAAATGGCTGTTTTGCTACCTGCTCCGAGAAAGTGACCTAAAACTGAGTAAGGAAAAGCAGGCTGGGCTAAGTGATTTTGAGGCAAAAAACAACTGTCAGGTAATACTTATTAATCTTTCTTATTTTTTTTATTTGTTTTCATGCAAGTTTTTCAGTTCCTGTTAGCTTTATCTGCTTGTGTCATGAAGTACAATTTCCTCAGCCATAAAGCAGCAAGTCAAATAACTAATAAAACTTAATACCTGTCCATGTGCTTGGCATAGAACATGATAGCAGGACAGTTACTGTCAGCAGAAGTCTTTCAGGATATATTTCCCTTCAAAAAAGTTGCAGGCATGTGCTGCGTGCTTTCTGTAATTTTGATAGCACAACTTCTGAAGACTAAATCTACCAGTATTAAATCTACTGCAGCATCAGGTTATTACTTCTCCATCTGCTCTTGTGGCCAAATACATACTGTAGGAAAGAATCTTGCTCTGGCAGGTAGGTAAACTAGATGACCTAATAGGTCTTTTTCATCTCCAATTCCTATAGGGCAAAGTACTCATGAAAGATACCAGACTGACAGCATTGGAACCTGAAAAGGAAACATTGACAATTTACATATAGCAGATCCACTCTCTCACCAGAGAGTTTTAACAGCTAGGAATGGCTTAACTCCAAATTTCAGTGCATATCCCCAAGTTCACCAGATTCCTCTGTTACCTCCATGAGAAAAACTGGCTCATACCCAAAGAAAGAGCACTTGTCCTTTGTCACTTAGAAAGATCAGTTCCCTGAAAATGGTCAGTGTCATTCACCTTATCTGCAAAGCTCATTAAAAAACATCAGGAAGGAATATTCAACTCTACACCTAAAAACAGCCAGCCTAGCTTCAACAGGGCATGATCTGTGTGAAACAACTGGTAGAGTGGAGAAAACCTTTCTGTTTTTTACCCTAGAAGCAGCTTATTAGAGAAACTCTTCAGGGTCAAACTCAGAATGGGAATTGCCAGAAATTAAAGTCTGATTTCCTGTCAGTTGGCCAGGTCTTGGGGAGGCTGATGCTGGGGCCAGTGCATTAGAGAGAGTGGTTTGCTCAGAAGTGTGAAGGTTCTCTTCGTTTTATGTTCAGATGTGCTAAAATCCAAAGATACTCAGGCACACAATTGCTTTCGTGATAGGCATTGATATACTTTAGGTCATGAGGTTTTATTTTCTCCCTACAACTCCTCCTCAGGACAGCAGGATTTTTTATTTTAAATGGCATGCCTCAAAAACATCTGAAAATGATTTACAAGCTGTGCTTTGAAGACATGTACGTATTTGATTTAAAACTTTCTGGGCATGAAGAAACAGTTTTCTGTCAGCCCAGTGGCTGAGTAATACATAATATTTGTTCATGCTATGGGGGATCTGGAAGAGATTCCTGGCATATCCCTTGGTTATTTTGGTTTGGGAGTAGCTTGATAGAAACAATACAGTAGTGCAAGCAAAGGTAAAGAGGGAAATAGAATTATAGAGGAGAATAACAGGTAAATAATTTTTAATGTTTCCTTTGTGATGTTAAGACTTATTTCATTCTGACTAGGGAAATGACATTCATATCTAAAAAAGACCTTGTAGTAAGGGGGAAGTCCTCCCTAATCCTGCAGAGAATAGACGTGTGGTTTGCTGTTCATGCTTTTATCTGAGCTTGGACATAAGTATGCCACTGGACAGCTGTTGATAAAGACAGTTGTCTTTGGAATATGCCTTTTTTAAATGTTGCAGTGGATTTAGATGCAAGAATAATGCAAGTATGTAAAAGAAAAAAAACAACTAATCAACTAATTCTAAATTAAAAAAAAAAAAAAAACAAAAAAACAAAAAAACCCTCAACCCTTAACAAATGGGGTAAAACCGAACACATGTTAACAGCATTGCAACAAATCAGCCAGAACAGCAATGGTTTCATATTCCCCTCCTGTTCACCAGCTACAATGTTTTCAGTCAGCTGTGTATTTCATTGCGCATATATGCCACAATATAGCAAAGGTGAAGTATATAAATGTAGACAAATATTCCTTATACTCTGCATTAACAGTAACTGGTGACTTGTCTTTCTCATGGGATAGTCAACAATGATTAGTTGCATAATTCCTTGAAAATCATAGAATCGTAGAATCAACTGTATTGGAAAAGACCTCCAAGATCATCGGGTCCAACCCTTGATCCAACCCCGCTGTGGTTACTAGACCATGGCACTAAGTGCCGCATCCAGTCTCATCTTAAAAACCTCCAGGACGGTGAATCCACCACCTCCCTGGGCAGCCCATTCCGATGTCTGATTACTCTCTCTGTAAAGAATTTCTTCCTCATATCCAACCTAAACTTCCCCTGGCAGAGCTTAAGACGATGCCCTCTTGTCCGTGCTGGTTGCCTGGGAGAAGAGACCAATGCCCACCTGGCTCCAACCTCCTTTCAGGCAGTTGTAGAGAGTGATGAGGTCTCCCTTGAGCCTCCTCTTCTCCAGGCTAAACAACCCCAGCTCCCTCAGCCTCTCGTCATAGGACTTGTGCTCAAGTCCCTTCACCAGTCTTGTTGCTCTTCTCTGGACCTGCTCCAGCACCTCAATATCCTTCCTGAACTGAGGGTCCCAGAACTGGACACGGTACTCCAAGTGTGGCCTCACCAGCGCTGGGTCCAGGGGAAGAATCACTTCCCTGGTCCTGCTGGCCACACTGTTCCTGATGCAGGCCAGGATGCCATTGGCCTTCTTGGCAACCTGGGCACACTGCTGGCTCATGTTCAGCTTCCTGTCAGTCCAAACTCCCAAGTCCCTCTCTGCCTGGCTGCTCTCCAGCCACTCTGTCCCAGCCTGTAGCGCTGCAGGGGGTTGTTGTGGCCGAAGTGCAGGACCCGGCACTTGGCCTTGCTGAACCTCATCCCACGGAAATCAGACCATCTCTTTAGCTTGTCCAGGTCCCTTTGAAGAGCCCTCCTGCCTTCCAGCAGATCAACACTCCCCCACAACTTGGTGTCATCTGCAAATTTGCTAATGGTACACTCAATCCCCTCATCCAGATCATCGATAAAGATATTAAATAGAACTGGGCCCAACACTGATCCCTGGGGGACACCACTAGTGACTGGCTGAAACTGGATGCAGCACCATTCACTACCACCAGCCCTCCAGCCAGTTCCTAACCCAGCACAGAGTTCCCCTGTCCAAGCTGTGGGCTGCCAGCTTTTCCAGGAGTATGCTGTGGGAGACAGTGTCAAAGGCTTTGCTGAAGTCCAGGTAGACACATCCAAAGCCTTCCCCTCATCCACCAGGTGGGTCACCTGATCACAAAAGGAGATCAGGTTGGTCAGACAGGACCTGCCCTTCCTAAACCCGTGCTGGCTGGGTCCAATCCCTTGTCCACCTTGTAGCTGATGTGTGATTGCAACATGTATTGCAATCTGTTGCCATCCATAAACAGAATCCACTCATGCTGACATGATTAGATTTTTATTTGTTGTTTGAAGAGACTGTAATATGATTTCAATAGGAAGATTTTATCCTCTTCATAAAACTCTGAATAATATTAAATAATCATTATATGTGTTTATTAATGATCCTAAAATCAGCAAACCTGATTTTGCATTGTGTTCTCTCTGATGTAGCTACTTGATCCTATAAAGTCTGTGTGCAACTATTACACTGGTAATAGGCATACAGTCTTATTTCTAAGAGGCATTTCATGAGATATCTCATGACTAACCTTTACATAGACGTTGTAGAAAGTGTTTTCTCCTACCGTTTCTTCTTAGAATTTCTTTAATCTCACACTAAATCATCAGATCTAAATCAACAGAACTCTACTAACCTGACCAGAGCAATGCCATTCTGCACCAGCTGAGGATTGGTTTTTTGTATTTTGATACTCAATGTCCTTCTTTTCTGTTTCCTAAGGTGTACTACTGTCGATCCTTAGCCATTGCCTTTATTGAACAAACAGTCTTACAGCGGTATCATGACTACACTCATGACCCCAGCATTCCACCTGCACTGCAGCCAGTGCTTAAGAATCTCAGTGCTCTCTATGGACTCTGGTCTTTAAGTAAACACCTGGCTGTGCTCTACCAAGGTGAGATCAGCTCCTGAATATACTGTGCATGTCAGTTCATAAAAGTCCTAACTTGGCAGGGGGAGGGAATCCTAACTAGGATTTATGTTAGAGCGTTTTCTTACTGCTTGTCCAGCACAAAACAATCATTCTCGACCAAATTTTCAGGAGCAGGAATCTGGAATGACAAATAACCCAAAAGGCTCCCTCTTAGCTCAGAGGTGATGGAGGGATCACAAGTTTTGCTGTGATCCAGTGCTTGGGGGAGAGGATAGGGGATAAACAACAAGATGCTGTAGTGTAGCTTGTTACTGCAAAAGGCTCTACATATCTTAGAATAAAAGTTTTGCAGCCAACTCATTAATGAAAGATTTTAATTCAATTACATGGGTGAATCTATTTAGTCATTTTTGTAAAAAGTTTGTATCAGTGTAATCTTAACTGGTATCAGCTTCTCTGTGAATGTGTTTGCAGGTGGCTATGCTTCAGGTGAACAACCTGGTAGACTTATTCAGAATGCTATTCTGGAGCTCTGCTACAGGGTAAGCCTGTTTGTTGTGATTAAATAATATAATATACAAATACTAAAAAGGAGATATATCACTTATTCTGTACTTCAAGGGGTAAATGAGCACAATACTACATTAATAGTTTCTGAATAATTTTCTGTAAAGTTTAGCAACTCATCGACCCTGAATCTAGTCCTAATTTATTTACCAATAAACAGAAAACAATATATCCTGCAAAATAACACCACAGTATTTGTGGCCTTGCAATCTTCATTGGAAAGCCAGTGAAATATTTCAGTCCAGTTCTACTTATTTCATTGTAGTGTTAGCTTGTGAATTTTTTTTCTTAGCACAAAAGCTTTCCAAACTGGAATATATTCTTTGCAGGTCAACAAAATTTCAAAGAAGAAGATGAACATTACATTTTTAAAGTTCAAAAATATATGTGTTTATGTGTGCAAACAGCACCATATTCATTAAAATGTGTTTTAAAACCACTCCATAAGTAAAGGAGGAAAACATTTAAAATGCAGTCTCTTTTGACAGTTACCCTGGGAGTGAAAAAAGGCAAAATAAAACTAGGCTACTTATTATGGACTTCTCTTAAATTATCAATAGCTGATACATTATGAAAATATTCTTTATGCTGCTCTGTAGTTCACAGGTAGCCATAGACAACTACAGAAGTTGCCAAGTGTTATGTTTTTTATTTTTAAACAGTTGAAAGATGATGCCGTTGCCCTCGTTGATGTCTTTGCTCCTCCCGACTTCATTCTCAATTCTCCCATTGGTAAAGCCAGTGGAGAGGTAAGAAAACCCATTGTTAAATTTGTAAGTTTAATGATTAAGAGGATTATTGCCTGTAAATAGCCTTAACACATTCAAGACACTTCACAGGTACAAAAGAGAAGAAAATCACTTTTTCAGTGGAAAGTCCTACTAGAGTTAAATTGATGTCAGCAGAAAATGACATTTTGCATTTGCTGGAGATAAGCTTGTGAAGTATTGCTCTAGCTTGCTCTTGTAGGCACCTATGCACTGAACACAAAAAAAAAAAAGGCTGAGAGAAATTTTTTGATATAGTTACACAAAGCAAGAGTTAAGAGCATAAGAATGGCCACACTGGATTCAGTTCACAGAATACTCTGTAACTGACAGAGAAGGGTGGCCAAGCAGAACATTGTATGAGACAGATAAAACATCATGGTGTTCTTTCCCTGGTGTCTGAACTGCTGGCAGTTGCTGGTTTAAGAGATATCTCATACTGTAGGTTGTATTTGTATCACTCTGTTTCATAGCCACAAATGTGTCTGTCCTCCATTTTTTCCATCCATTTTCAAATTCAGCTGTCTTGTGGTTTCTGTCACACAATAATTTGTACAACTTAATTATGAGTATTGTGAAAAAATACTTCCTAGTCCCCATCCATATACAGTTGCTATCTATGGGAGCCTTTTTGTTCCTCTGACAGACCTTGTTTTCATTTTCTGTGTATTTTCTGCTTCTGCCATATCCTTTCTGAGGTGTCATAACCAGACCTACAAGCAGGACTTGGGATGTGGGTGCACCATGGAGTTGGTGTACGAGGTCATGGTCCTTCTCTGCCTTTTTATTTCTTGACACATTTCAAGATCCATATTTCATTCCAAAGTCTCAGCAAACCAGAATTCTTGCTTACTGGCCAAACCTACTCAGCAGGGCCAAGCTGTGGGATAACTATTTTGTAGAGACTGGTGTCACAGTTACAGTGGTTTGGTTTAGTGTGGATAGATACTGTAGACAATCACTAGCCTGGGGACACTGCCAGGATGTTTTCAGGATTGCTGAGTCAAGTACTTGATGCTTTCCAATATTCTCTATGTCTTCTTGTCCAAAGTTGTCCATCGTTCCCATGGTGATCAAGGAATACAGAAGGCAGCCCAGATGTTTCCAACCAGAGGCTGACCTAACACAATGATTATTTTGTTAACACAGTCTTTACAAGTACAGGAGGAAAGACTCTCTACCTATCCATCCATCTCAACTGAGGGCTGTAATCATCACTGGAAACCTTGTTTCCATTTCTGTAGGTTTTTGGGATGGAGGCTCCAAAGGTGTCTCTTCAGAGGAGGAACATAATTTGTAAGAAAGTTAAGACTATGTGTATTGGCCAAAAGCCCATTTTCACACATTATTCTGTCTCTGACAGAAGCTATGAACAGATGCTATAGGCAGAAATATAAAATATGGTGCAAGTACCCAGTGATCCATTCCTAGAGTACTATCCCCTTTCTAACAGTCAGAGGGAGATTTCTTAGCTGATCAAGCTGTCACGTGATGGATTTGGCTAGCTCTTAGCTCATACAAATGCAGAAGGCACTGAGGCTTATTTATATTAGAGATTAATATTATGAGTATAATATATTAATTGTGCACATGGGACTCTAAACACTACTGGCTTCCTTGTGTATTAATTTTTTATAAATTCATTGAACCATATTGAGAAAATAATTTCAATCAGTGATATCCAACCCATGCTCTATGGAATCCAGGAAGGTTTTCTGAACTGCCTGTAAGTCTGTGGTTTTCAGCTTATGTAAATATTTTCAACTGAAATGTGAAAAAGGCTGCCAATCCCTCACGTAGAGAAAATACTCAATAAAGCTCCTTGTCTCCTGGTTGTCTATATTTAATTCCCTATTCATTGCTATCTTTGCAGCTTCTGAAAACCAATACAAACATTTTAGTAAAAATTACAGTATGGTAAAGAATAGATTATCCAAGTATAACAGGAAAATGAATTTAATTTGGGGTAAGATATGCTGTGCTGCAGTGGAGTGCTGCTCATGGCTGCACCATGAGCCTCAGATCTTCTGCTCATCTGAGCAGAAGAAAAGTTTCAAGATTTGTTATGGGCAGCTTTAAGCACAAAAGAAGAATTCAGATTCTCTTTAAAAGGAACTTTCATGGTGTGGACATCATTTCTATGTAGAAGTTTTGACAATAGCCACTTAAATATGGGAAGTTATTGCCACATTTATTTTGACATTATTTAAAAATTATTGGACAATATTAACTCACATAGAGTGGAATAAATAGTTAACACTGGCCCATGCAATCAAGGTAAAATATATTTAATATTAAATATATTATATTTCATTATTAATTAAATCATCGCAGATGTATAGGGCCAACCTATCTTTCAATGTAGAAGAAAGGCTTTTCACTTTACCTGCCTGACTGCTATTATACTATTTTAATGTTTTATTGTACTGTACTCTATCTTACTGCTGAAAATATGGCCTTCCTTTCCTCATCTTTCTGGAATGTTATTTAAAGTTTTAAGCTTCAGTCAATTATAAAATAAGAAGTATTGCTAAAATTACACTTTTGCAAAATTTACTTCCCATAGACTTTTTTTTAACTCTTCCACATAAAATTGCAAATTGATGATAAATTAGCAATCTGCTTCTGAGAGAAGATTTTCTTATGCTTAAATTGGACAGTTCACATCTAGAAGAGAAGTTCTGGAACTCTCCAGAAATGTGTTGAAACTAAGGTAACAACAGACATGCATGAGTGTTTTCGGATACAGTCTTCTGGTATCAGGTTTGGACAGAACAAAGATTAGCTTAATATAACTTTGTTTCTGAATTTCTACCTTTGATAATATAACTCATGTCAAATTGAAAACAAGAACTAATAAAGATTACTGGTTTCCTCTTCTTATGCCAAGGATGGTCTAAATGATTTACACAGAAATCTGATGTTTACAGTACTTTGAAATTTTGTGCTTTATCTTTGTGTTTATTCTTGCCTCTACATAATTATTCACATTTGTTGTCTAGAAATTCAATCACAATCTCATTTCAACCAATAAGTTAGATAATTTATCTTGCAGAAGTTTTGTTTGTTTCTTCTGTATGCATTAATCATTTTATTATTATTATTATTATTTTGCAGTTATATAAAAATATGTGGGGAGAGATCCTTCAAGGCAACAAAGTTCTGAACAGACCTTCATGGTGGGCAGAATTTTGTATTAATAAACCTGTTAGAGGCAGGCTGAAGTCAAGATTGTAAACCAATCAACTTGTAAGAGTCTGGATGGCCTGAGATGGATACTTCATTTCAAACATCAAGAGGAAAGGAGACCATATGTCAAACACTGAAAATGGAAGAGATTTTCATTGAGAGGTGCCAAGTTTTAAAGTAACTTTGAAATCAAGTCCAACTTGGTCTCAGGGACTGTTAACATAGTAATGACAGGAGCAAGAGCAACAAATCTGCACACTATACATATTTACTCAATTAAATGCAAAAAAATGAAGAATCATTATGATTGCTGCTTTGCAAAGTTTATATAAAAGAAATTTTCCAATCAGTCTCTTGTCATTACTTACCTTACAGAAGGTAAATAATTAAAAAACATTTCCCATCAGTGATTATGAATAAACTGACAAAAGCGAAAAAAAAAAATTTAGGACAGGTCAGACAGAAGCTGTATTAACTATGAATATGGTAAGAGAACATTCAGAGAGCATCTTCCCCTCTGCTTCTCTGTTCTCAGATTACAGAGAACCAACCTATATACTGTTTCAGAAAAAAGAATGGAAAAGTAAGGAAAAGCAATCATTTCAATGTTAAAACCAGGTATCCATCCCTGGAGGCATGGGACTCCTTAGAGAGCTTGCTAACTACCACAATTCTGAGGAATCAAACAGTAAATAACAGCAATATGAAAAAATGGCTCTGATTAGTGACACACCTTTTTTATCTTAGCTCAGAATTGGAAAGTTGGAAACAATCACAGACTTAGCTTTTAGCTGAAAGGATGTTCTTTTAGTGAAGATAGCTTCTTAGCCAGAGCTCTCAATCTTAGATATTAATAATTTTACCACTACAAGTTCAAGGTCAATTAAAAATTATCACCATCAACACGCTTCAGTTAAAAAAAAAAATCAAACAAAAAACCAAAATTCTGCGACTGTCATTTATAGACCCAATGGAAAAACAGATAATTTTTATCTTGTTAAACCTTACCTGTATTTTTTTTTCTGGACTTCTTTTTCCTTTCCAGAAATAGTCATTGTTGTCCGTATTTTTTCTGCTTCTATTTCTTCTTCTCTTTTAATGAGGTACCATAATTCAGGATGTCCCAACAGAAGCTCTTTTTCTTGCTATTGAACTGTAGGAAAGTATAACCTTTGCTGAAAAACCGGCCCAGTATAAAGTATTTATTTTCTTTGAGCTGTTTTGCCTCTCTTAATAACTTCCAATAGGTGGCATCATCCCGTGGAAAAAAACAGATCAATACAGCTAAACACGTGTCATTAGATATTATGGAATCACAGTGTCTCATGATTATCTTTAGCAATTTTCTATATCAATAGAGAATCCTGCTTGTGTTTGTGCAGAGCTGAAGGAAACAGGCAGAGCACATTATGCCCAATATCCAATGTAAACACCAGGATCTCTGACGGTGAAAAAGGCAAATGGGGAAGAGAAGCCCTGCTACATTAAATGTAGTAGCAGTGATCTGTCACTCCACATTCTGTACTATCAATGCTGATCAGCAACATTATTTCACTGTCTCACTTGCATGTGATTTCACCATCACCTCTGAGTTCTTCATAAGTGACATGGTCTTTTTCTGCCTCCTTCCTCGCAGCTGGGAAACAGAGGTTTGTGTAAATCTTGCATATAGACTATAAGTCTATTTATGAGGCCTTGGTAGCCCAGAAGAAAACATAATGGTGTTTGACATATAGCTTAAGCCACCTTCATCCCCAAAATAACCACAAAACAAAACTGTGTCACAGTACCACAGAACTGAAGACCTGGTGAGGCCAGAACACACAAAAGGATAAACAGACACCCTGTAAAAATGTACCCCGTAAGTTGTTCCCACAAATCTTATTTATTATGACTATTTTGTCAACAGCCAAACTCCCTGATAAAAGCTGTGCTCCTCCATACTGATAAGGACTGTACAAACTGGCAGAAGTGCTGTTTGTTCTGAAAAGCTTCTAACTTCAACTAGAGCAAGCACTGCAGAGACTACATCAGCAAGAACATGATTATGGGCAGAGAAAATAGGATATTCAGTTAAATAGCATGATTACGGACCCTAAATATGAGCTGTCACACAGCTTGCAGTAAGCTTAGAGCTTCATGTGGTCCTTGGATACCCACACAGTTAATGGCAGGAGTTAGAGACCTGCACTCCAAAACTGAAGTAAGTAATAGCAGAGCAGGGGTACAGTGAGGCCTTGGGGATTTACTCTTTAAAACACCACACATCTCTCACCAAGACTGTTTGCAAGCTCAGTGCAGGTGTTCAGCAGCTGTCATGTTTCCATGCTGCCAGCAGAGGCTGTCACCATTTACTCCCACACCCACTACAAAGCCGTGGTGCAGCGTAAGCAGGTTCCTCCTGCTTATGGATGTGGAGAGCCACTCTGCACTCAACATTATCAAAACTAGTATTTTCTGTATGACTAGCTGGATAGCCATTCTTTCATCAATTATGACTATGAATTTCTGAACTGTATGTTTAGCCAGACATTTGTAATCAAATTATCAAAATATCCTTTTTCTCTGAAGTCAACAATAAGCCAAAGGTTCCAGAGATCTTCTACATCCAGCTTCTCAGAGCAACAGAAATTGTGAGTCTGAATTTGCAGAGCTTCAGCATGGAGAGAGAGAGACGTCATGAAATTTGGCATCCAATTATCTACTAAATCATAGGACAATAATTCAACAACTACCACAAGATGTCATTATTATATGCAGTTTCTTCCTCTTTGTAGAACATTAAATAAGAGAGGCTTCCCACAGAACAGAAAAGTCATTTCCCTTCCACTTCAAATGCCAAATAAAGTTGGATGTGTCATTTTAACTTGTTTTGGGAGCTGGGTCAAAGACTGTCAAATAGCTTCAGTCCAAAACAATTTGGCCACAGGAATCTGTCCTTTTAAGCTGCCACATGAAGGCACCAGAAAGCTGAAGCCAAGCAGGCCTGAAAGAGCCCTAACATTCTGCTTCCCTGGTACCCTTTGCATGCTTCTCTCCTGGATAGTGGATTACTGCCAAGGGTATTTCAAACTGGTTTCTTCTATGATGAGCTATTTCTGCTGATGTGACTCAAAGCAAAAAGGTTCTAGCAAAAAACATTAAATTGTTTATGGGCATTAGGACACTGAATGCACACACCTCCCTTGCTAATGTGGCAAGATAAATACATGAATATTTCACATCACCTTTGTAGGAGTAATGGTGTCAGGAGAAATGCTTAGGGAGTCAGGTGGAAGCTCTACCATCTTTACAGATGCAGTTCTGTGGATGCAGGTTTCCCAGAGGTGCCTGTTTTCTGCAGAGATAAGTAGGCTTATACACTACTACTGTCTAAAAGCCTCTTTCCCACTGTATTAAATGATTTATCACACATTCTGCAGGGTTACAAGTTCCTCTTCTGTTTGCCTTTATTCATATATTTTCTTTACTGACCTAATGTGTTTTCAAAGCAGAGAGGTGACTTCATACAAGCACATGCTAGCAGCATGACCTGTCTCTCTCTCTCAGATGCAGCCATATGGACATCACAGAGGCCTGTGTGTCCTCTTGTGGCACTGTACCTTCATGGGCCTCAACTGTGTTTTGTTATTCCCAATTCTCATTAGCCTGAGATCAGAGTAAGGCTCCAGATCATTTTAACTCGGTTCACTGGCCTAAGGAGCACCGTAAGCAGAGGGGAGCTCGCTGCATGAGACATCCATGTGATAGTATAATCTGAGACAGGCAATCCAGCCAAGTGAAGGTCAGCTGTGATCACAGCGGGCTGCCCACAACACTGTCAGTGGGAACAGAAGCAGAAAGCTTCATTCGTCTCTAAGCAAGTCAAATCACAGATTTATCAAATGCAAGCAGAGCATTTCACATCAGTTCCTTTCAGAGGCAGAGGGAGAGGTGAACACAGCTTTGCTGAGAACAACAGTTCTGCTGACTACCTTGCCTTGGTGTTTTTCTCAAACATTTGCAGCCTGGTTGCGTTTGTTCAGCATTCCCACAGCACGAATCTCTCTTGAATAAATGCAAATTCCATCAGGAATTTCTTTGGTGTGTTTTCAAAGAATAGACCAGCGTGCGGCTAGAATAATTCCCAGTGGATTTCCTGAAGGCAATTTACACATTTTTTACATTTTTTGTTTGGGAACTACAGTCCACGTTAGTATCCAGCATGTACTGAGATTTGCAGCAGTCTCCAAAGACCGTCAAAATTGTCACTGGTCAATAGCTGCCTTCACCTGCCCACATTCTTCCATCCTCCTCCAGAGAACCCTCCCCAACTGGTTTCACTTGTGATCTTGTCTGTACTCATAGCTTTGCTAAATACTCATTTTTGCCAAATCATAAAATATCCATGGTAATTCCTCCTTTTAAGCAAAGAATATTTTTGAATTACATATTCTTTGCTAGAAAAAAATGCCTCAATTCATAATGTCAATTTTGTTTAGAAGGGCAGTTACCTGCTGCATATTTGCCATGGAGAGATAACCAGGAGTTGGAAAACAACCCACAAAAGGGCCAACATGGAACTGGAGTTTGTCCAGACCCATGACTGTGATAGGTATGTGACTCCTGGGCCAAGTCACCTTCTAAGGTATCCAGAGAAAAGCAACCATCCTGCCAGTGTGCTGTACAGCATATACTGCACTGGCCTTATCACCTGTTTTTTTGGGGGCAGCCTGCCCATAAGCAATGGGCAAACAAACATCGCCTGAGAAGGAAACCTCTTTTAACAGCATGATATGTTGTTTTTATAAAATGTAAAAATCAAAACAAGAATCTATAGAGAGACATCATTTCCTATGGCAAAAACGTGAGCTGTGATGACAAAATTGTTTATAATGAGGCAAAAGGAGTACTCAAGAAGTGGTTCTGCACTATATTTACATGCTTTTATCACTGGGATGTGAGGAAGTACTTTTCAGTCCCTTAGTAACCCAGGCGGGTGTTAAGCAACACATACTGGGGTAAACACTTTAAAATCAGCAGACCCATATAACAAAAGATGGTGAAGACTTTACTAGGAAGACTTGGCTGGTCTAATCATACTCATTTCTGTTATATTCTGTATCAAAGAAATTCCACTATATTAGAGTTTGCCGGATATTATACCAATATTTTAAAAGGACAAAAAAGTGGTGAACTTGACTCTATCAGAAGCAAAATAATGGAAAAACGGAAGGGGGATTCAACTAATAAGATAATTAGCATACAGTAATACAAAAAATATCAGTCAGAAATTTTACAGAAAATACATTTTGTCAGACAAACCTGATTTCATCCCAGGTATTCTCAAACTCTGTTTTTTGAATATAT